AGTGTCGAGAATGTTTGTCCTACACATATTTGAATATTATCTGTTACTTCCTTACACGTGACACGGATTCAATCAAAATATCCTACAGTATCTTACTAACTTTTACACACTTTAATGTCGAGAATGTTTGTTCCACACATATTTGTATATTGTCTGTGATTTCATTAAATGTGTCACTTATCTAAGCAATAAGAAATAGCCAAACACTATCTACCATTCATTTAAACCCTTTTGGTCTTTGTTATTTTTTTATCATTTATATCTTGAAACACGTTAGATTGACATCTGCTTCTTATTAGTGTTTTTTTATCCTATCACACACACACAGACAGACACACACACATGCTCACAGACACACACATATATATATATATATATATATATATTATAAATTAATAATATAAATGATTGTAAAAATAAAAATACCATTAAGTTATAATATTAATGCACTGTAAATTTACATTGAGCACTATTTTGTAAAAATAAAAATATCTATAACACCGGATTACTGTTCTTTTTTTATATATATATATATATATATATATATATATATATATATATATATATATATATATATATATATATATATATATATATATATATATTCTTACGTAGCACAACTCTGGGTTTCATACAACTCAATTTTCAGGTGCTAATTATTATTAATGTGTCATTTATCGCGCTGTTATTCTACATCGAAAACTATTTTACTAGCATCAACACTCAATGTGCGATAGTACAGACACATACGCGCGCACACACACCACAAACACACACTCACACACACACACACACATATATATATATATATATATATATATATATATATATATATATATATATATTGTGTGTATATATACATATATACCAGTGAATATACATAAAACGTCGATACCACACCTCGGAGTTTTATGCAGTTTATGCAATCTTCAAGTGACTGTCAGCCACCATTCTTTTAAACATCTTTCATTCAATATGACACCCTGGTTTTGTCGGCGCCCACGTGCAGTCAGTGCTTTTACCTTTTATGTTCAAATATTTGTTTTTTGTTCGATCACCTGGTATTTCGCTACTAAACTGGGAACTCATTTATTGCCATCCTATTTGGTAAATTTCTTCTGATCATTCAAATTCATCAGTAAAAGCATTAAGCCGAAATTAAAATTGAATTCTTAGAACGACCCTAAAATAAAAAGGAAGCGTTCAACGACTTCATGTGAATCGGGTTTCGTGGTGACATTTTTTTTTTAATTCTGCACATTTTTTTTTTTTTTTTTATGTTGACCACGGATCATGTTAACTTAAAACAAAATTACAAATTATCTTAACACAAACTCTTGGTGAAAAAATGTATGACAAAGGGAAAAAACTTAGGACTTCATCAGACTAGATTTGTTCGTTGATGAGACGAAACAAGCGCACGAAAAAGAGTCACTGGGAATTTTTAATTTCGAAAATATTTTCTTAAAAACATTTATTTATTTATTTTTTAATAATGTGTTTTGGGTCTATATCAAACCAATTTCATTTAATAAGTTTTCTTTCCTAACTAGGTGAAAACGGCGACGATTTGAGTCTGCAAATATTAAAGGTGACTCAAATTTGATTGTCAGTTTTCAAATTCCTCCAGAGTTTGAAATGAGCACATTTTAAAAAACTAGTGACAGTATTCTTTTGCAAATAAAACCATTTCTGGCCAAACCGTATGAAAGGCCATTCGTTGGCTCAGAAGATTTTGTAAAGTGTATTTCTTGAAAACATGCGTGGGATTTTTTTAAATTAAATAATTAGGACAAAACGTTAATTGGCTCTAATAATACCTAGAAATTGGATTATCAGTGGTTAAGAATTAGGAGCGAATTACTGATTGAATATGTCTATTATATGCATTATATAATTTTATTGCTAATGATTTTACTATAAAAATGCATTGAAATCAGAAAGAAAGGGATTGTCAGTGGTCAGGGATTAATGCAAGCATTACTGAGAAAATTCGTCTATTATAAGTATGGTGTAAATGCATTACTAATGATTTTACTATAGGAATGTATTAGGAAAAAAGGGATTGTCAGTGGTCAGGAAAGAATGCAAGAATTATTGATAGAATAGGTCTATTATGTGTATAATGTACATGCATTTATTATAGTCTTATATCCATTGTGATTTTCGTCCTTTAAGATTTAATTCGAGTTTTTTTACTGTTTATCAACCTTTTGTGGGTTATTTAAAGCCAAAATATAACTTCGATCATATTTATTTATTTACCAATGACTATTGCAATAACAATCTTTTAGAAGATAACAATGATTTTTCCGGATAGAAGTCATATTATTTAACCCATAGCTGGGGGAGACGATATAGATTAATACCATTCATAAACGTGAAGTGAATGCAACGAAGCCAACTGGAATTATCCGATCCGCTATCCATGATATCAGCCGCATATCTACGTCTCTTCTGATGGATTTTTTACTCTTATTCGATAAGTCTGGCATAAGACCACGAGTGTGGAGCGCACATTGATAATCGAAAACATTCCGAGAGTAATAGTTTACAAAATGTGCTTGACTAAAGCTAAATTGGTATCTGTGTTTGACTAAGCCTGTCCCTATTTTAAAGTACCCGGGCACTTTATTTCAAATACTATACGTGTTAATGCTGCAAAGCCTGCGCTACGGCAGGCCCTCTTTTCAGTAATCAACTTTATCTACTTTCTACGCAAAAGAATTGTTTCGCGAGAACGAAAATATTTGTGCATTGTTGGGGTGAACACAAACACTCACAAATATATACATATATATATATAGGGTTTAGGCTTTATAAGGTCACATACATGCTTAGAGGCACACACTTACACATATAAAATATATATGTGTGTGTGTTTATGAGGGTGTCAATGAGTAAGGTCCTTGTAAAAATTATGCTGATTATAAAAATATTTTAAATTCTATTCATTTTACGTATTTTAATAGGTGTCATTGAGTTGCATTATATATATATATATATATATATATATATATATATATATAATTTGGGGTAGACGGAATGAATTGCAATAACCAACAATTACTATTCTTAAAAAGAGTGCTCAGTACAGAGTAGAGCAGATATAATTATTTATTTTAAAAATATAACATAAATATGTTATAAAATCACTACAAAAATAGCCATTTTGTTTTAACACCTCCGGTGTCTTGTCAAGTGAAGAAGTTGAATGAAACAAAAACAAAATGACTATTTTTGTAGTTATTTTATAACATATTTATATTATTTACAAAAAAAATAAATAAATATATATATATATATATATATATATATATATATATATATATATATATATATATATATATATATATATATAATAAAAGGCTTAAACACTAATATTCCATGGTCATAATTTATTCCATTGGAATCGTAAATACGATCCAAATATATATATATTGTATGACATCCGAACATATTTCAATCCGCTACGTAAATGCATTCGTTTCGATGCATATTATTGCATCTCATCGGGTGTTGGTAAATGAGGATTATTACAATTTTAAATATTTAATATTTTTAATATTTTAAATATTTAAAATACATTTATGTATACATTTTAAATACATTTAAAATACATCCGTTTAAAATAAATTTATGTATACATTTAAAATTCATTTATTCAAAATCCATTTATTTTAAATATTTAAAAATATGCATTTATGTAGTCGTTTTACATATGTTCGAAAGTAATATCCAATCAAAAAGGATTATCGCTCTACTATTGTATTGGGCACTATATTTAAATTAATCTTGTAAACGTTTCAATTTATATTTGATTCGTTATCATTTATATATATATATATATATATATATATATATATATATATATATATATGTGTGTGTGTGTGTGTGTGTGTGTGTGTGTGTGTGTGTGTGTGTGTGTGTGTGTGTGTGTGTGTGTGTGTATGTGTTAAAAGATCAAATGCAGAAGAAATACGAATCGTACTCCGAATCCCATATATAATCCTGTCGGATTTCGATCCATTTGATTTTTAACTCGTTTTTCGGAACATGGACAACACTTCAAAGAGACTTCTCTTACACCCTACAAAACAGAAGGAATTTCCCTCTCAATTGCATTCTTATAATATATATATATATATATATATATATATATATATATATATATATATATATATATATATATATACATTTTGTGTGTGTGTATCATTTATTTTAGGATATTAAAACATGTTAAAATCGCTACACAATTACAATTATGTTTCAGCACCATAAATGTGTCTCTTCAAGCGATGTTAAAACTACTGACGACTGAAAGATTAATTTAATTTCAAAAAGCAGAATAGCTTATTTTGAGCTCCCCTATGTATTGAGCTCCCTATGTAGAACCCCCTCTTTTAAATTAAATGTTACGTACAGTACTCATTTGCATATATATATATATATATATATATATATATATATATATATATATACATGTAATTATTTTTTTCTAATGTTTACGAACAGAAAGCCAATGAAAATGTCGGTTAAAATATTCGTTGTTTTCATAATTCTTGTGTCGAGGGATTCAGGTAGAAATCTCCCTGCCACCAAAAAAATAAAAAAATGGCGTTACGGATGTTTTCAAATTGACCAAAGCAAATAAATTTTGTTTTCACAGATATAAAGCTAGCTATCTAGTCTGTCTGTTTATCTAGCTAGCTCGATAGATAGATAGATAGATAGATAGATAGATAGATAGATAGATAGATAGATAGATAGATAGATGTTAGGCAGACAGGCACGAAAATACTTGGGGATAGATAGATAGCTAGATAAATTTTTAAAGGCAAAGAGCCTGATAGATGATAGATAGATAGATAGATAGATAGATAGATAGATAAATTTTTATAAGCAAAGAGCCTGATAGATAGATAGATCGATAGATAGATAGATAGAAAGATTCTTAAATGCAAAGATCTTGATAGATAGATAGATAGATAGATAGATTTTTAAAGGCAAAGAACCTGATAGATAGATAGATAGATAGATAGATAGATAGATAGATAGATAGATAGATAGATAGATCTTGAAAGCAATGAGAGTGATAGATAGAGAGATAGATTCTTAAAAGCAAAGAGATAGATAGATAGATAGATAGATAGATAGATAGATAGATAGATAGATAGATTTTTATAAGCAAAGAGCCTGATAGATAGATAGATAGATAGATAGATAGATAGATAGATAGATAGATAGATAGATAGATAGATGTTAGGCAGACAGACACGAAAATACTTGGGGATAGATAGATAGCTAGATAAATTTTTAAAGGCAAAGAGCCTGATAGATAGATAGATAGATAGATAGATAGATAGATAGATAGATAGATAGATAGATAGATAAATTTTTATAAGCAAAGAGCCTGATAGATAGATAGATCGATCGATAGATAGATAGATTCTTAAATGCAAAGATCTTGATAGATAGATAGATAGATAGATAGATAGATAGATAGATAGATAGATAGATAGATAGATAGATTCTTAAATGCAAAGATCTTAATAGATAGATAGATAGATAGATAGATAGATAGATAGATAGAAACATTCCCCGTCACTGAAATAGCACTTGTTACGAATGGATGATAAACTGAGCTCTTCATTCAGATCTGCTTGAAAATCTCTTCAGATTTTGCCAACTCCTGTTTCCCAAAATAAAATAAACAAATCAAAACAAATAGTACAACCTGCCGAAATCGAGTTGTAAATTGTGGCGCGTAAAATAGACGCAATTTCATCTTATTTTTCTCTACGACGAAGGTCAAGATGTTCATTGGTGGTTTCTACGATAAAGCCGTTTATTATGTCGCCTGCTAATTTACGACGCACATAGATTGTTACTTCTGATTTTACAAGAATAGGAGTTTATATTGTTCAACTCGGAATTTATGACTTCTTATTAGATTGAATTATGAATTAATCGGAATCCGTGTCTTCTTAAAGAAGGAACCATTGTTTATTTGTCTGATTTTTTTTTTGTTTATTTGTTTGCCTTTTTTTATTTATTTATTGTTTATTGTTTTTGTTGTTTCGTTTTGCTTTTTCTAGATCTTTCTTCTTCGTGTTTCTTAACTGGAGTCGTTTCTTTTTTTCTTTTCTATTTTTTTTTTTTTGTCTGGTTTTTTACTCTGAGGTTTCTTGCCCGATGTAAATGTTGGACCAAACAACCAACCATCATCATCATCATCATCATCATCATGATCATCATCATCATCATTAAGTGAATATAACAAACCCGATTGGAATTCAAACTCGGCTCTCCGATTTCTCTCTCCGAGCCGTAATCCATTACACCGCCCACGCACCCAAGCTTACAGCACCTGGCATTCCTAAGCGGTCACCCATCCAGGTATTGACCAGAGTTGTCGCTGCTTAACTTCACTGATCTCATGAGAATCGGGGATTCAACGTGATATGGCTGTAAGCCGCAATAATTAGAAACTTTGTCGGCAAGGTTTTTACTCCACGATGTAGGCCTTATGTCAAACTTTATCAGTGTTCAACATGCTATGGCCTTAAGCCGTTTCCTTATAAGGAAACTTTCGACGTTCACAAACCGAGCAGCCTTTCCTACCGTCGTTCAAAAATTATCAAATCTTTCCCTTAAACCAATTTTCTTTCAGGAAAATAGGTTTCTCGAGTTTACTTGCTGTTATCACCCTTTACAGTATTGACAAGGTTTTCCTTCCTGAACTTTTGTTTGGAGTCAGTGTGAAAACGATAAAATCTTGATCATATGATTATTTTCCCTGCCAGTGACTCGTGCTTTCCATTTTAATTGCTGTTGTTCTTGAATGTCCTTAAACGATGTGGTTGTTGTTATTTGGTAGAGCCTGTAGCGCCAGTCCACGTGGTTCGAAGAAGAATGTTCCTTGCTAAAACCTACAGGCTTCACTTGCTCGGAACCATTTTTTAACCATTGATGTGAGAAAGCGATTGTATACAGCGGACGGTTTAGATATTTCTCAACAGGTTTACTTCCACGCCCCATTGGATGACATCTATATGAATGTCTCGATCAGATGAGTCTAAGATCATGACTCGTGTTTTTAGGGTAATTTTGGCTTTGCAGCAACTTGCGGTATTGAATGAAACTATCCCTAGCACAGGCTATTCTACGTCCAATTTCTTTATTTCTTATACTAAATTTGTTATAACTGATCTATATAATAAGGTATTCTAAGTCGCCTAGATCTACAGAAAATGTGGAGAGCCATCATCGCCCGCATTATGGATGACAGCTCTTACAAATTCAAAAGTTTTGGCTGAATTCCTGCTTACTTGAATATATTTTATTACAGACAGAAAAACCTAAGCTTTTACTGTGAATGGTAAAAACAAAACATTGACGGGGCAATTCTATTCCCCCCTCTTCTTGAACATGGAAAAAGAAGAGGTACATTTACTTTTTTTTTTACAAATTCTTACTTGATCATAATGTTCCTCAAACCGCTGCTAAGATTAATAGAGCATGGGGTGAAGAATCCACTTTTGATTGAAATGTATAGTGATGATTCGTGAAGTTCCACAGTGGGGATGCAAGTCTTGAGGGTCAAGGTGGTAGAAGACGTCTATCTGCATTTAACAATCAACATCTGAAAGCACTAGTTGAATAAAACAAGGTCCCAATTCTCAGGTCAAAACTCTGGTATTTTAGCATGTTGTTGACAAAATTAACCCCTCTCACAGCCTATTTTATGCTCAATTCCTTTAACTCCGATACGAAAAAATAACAAACTATACCACGACCCAGAAAGAAAATCCCTAGAACAGTTTTGATCTGACTGAGCCCTTTTAGATTATGACTCGAGTTCTCAGGTTAATGTTTTGGTTTTGTAGCAACTTGCGGTATTATGGGAAACTACGCTAAGCACAGCCTATGCTATTCCAAATTTCCTTATCTCCTTTTTGTTATAATGATGTTCACCCTGTACAAGACACAAAACGGTTACAGAATATGTGGCACAATTTATGCGGATATGTGGGGAAGATAACGATTAACATTAAACTTGAACAGGTTTGTATTAATCAGGGAAGCATCCACTTGGGAGTTGGTCCCACAAAAACGGCGGTTCGGGGAAGAAGCTGCTCGAGTGGAACTTACATCTCACCAACGAAATACGAAGGAATGTTGAATGTTACAATGACATGTTTGGTCTTAGCCACGAAATTGGAACTAAGGAATATAGCTCGTCTGAGCACTTTCCTTGTCTACGTCCAATTTCCTTATTTCTTATACTAAATTTGTTATAACTGATCCATATACTGAGGTAATCTAAGTCACATAGATCTACAGAAAATGTGGAGAGCCATTATCGCCCGCGTTCTGGATGGGATGCAGTATGGTGAAACAGTGAAACAAATCCCCAATGCAGATAGACGATATGAAATAGTTTGAGGATCAATGGCCAAAGCAGAATAATATGCAATCAATTAAAAAGATCAAAAAGTGGTCCCTCTAAAACAGAGGCAATTTTTTGATCTGAAGCATGAAGGTAAAAGAAAAGCAAATAACACGCCGATTACCGTATTTTTCCCCCCTCATCAATCATAATACACAAGCTAATAATTTCCCTGCCTAACCAATTTCAACGATTGGCTTCAATTTCAATTCGTCCCCAGCGAATAGTTGGACAAGGATATATCTAAAAAAGATCAAATGGTCAATAAGTTATAAATATTTAAGGTATCCGTAATGTCTCCTGGGAAGTACGTCATCGTCACATGACCCGATAAGGGAAACAGACGCATGCGCATTAATTGTGGGGATTTAATGAGGTGTTGAGAGAGGGTCAGGGAGATGTGCGTTTTACTGAATTGTGAAGAGGGCGAAGCGGAGGTAGAGAAGAAGAAGAAGAAGAAGAAGAAGAAGAAGAAGAAGAAGAAGTAGAAGAAGAAGAAGAAGAAGAAGAAGAAGAAGAAGAGTTGGATGACAATTGAAACTCTACAAAATTTACGTTAGAAAGAGAATGAAAGAAAAAAGCAAATAAAGGCAGAGATAAAAAAAACTAAATTATAAAAGTACATAGATAAATAGATTAATAGAGTAAAATAGATAATGAACAAATTGCGATAGATATGAAAAAATAGATTAGATTGATATATATACATATATAGATAGATAGATTTGAAACAAATAGATTGGACTGATATATATATATATATATATATATATATATATATATATATAGAGAGAGAGAGATAGAGATAAATAGATAAAAATAAAAATTTAGAAAATGAAAATTTTTTAGATAGATTTATATATATATATATATATATACAGATAGATAGATAGATAGATAGATATTGTACAATTTTTCTCTTTATTTTCTACCGAAATTAAGCAGCTTTACGAAGTTTAGAACGGTTCATGATCAAATATAATTGACATTTATTGTTTGTTATATTAACAATATGTTTGAATATATATATATATATATATATATATATATAGATAGATAGATAGATAGATAGATAGATAGATTTAGATAATAGATAGATAATCGATAACCATACAAATTGATATATATGATAGATAATGTAAGCTACATTGAGAAACATAGATAGATAGATAATGTCCACATTGAGATTATAGAGTAGATAATGCAAATTGAGATAGATAGATAGATAGATAATGTATACCATTGATAGATGCATGAGATGCATAGATAGATAATGCACAAATTGAGATAGATAGATAGATAGATAGATAGATAGATAGATAGATAGATAAGATGAATGAGAATGATAATGCACAAATTGAGATAGATAGATAGATAGATAGATAGATAGATAGATAGATAGATAGATAGATAAGGAAGCCAACTGCGCGAAATGGATTCTGGGAAGGAAAGAAGTGAGAAGTTCACCTTTACAAACAATTGGGACTAATAGTGTTGTTTTAATGCGATGGCATTTTCAACGCTGCTTGCAGCGTCACTGAGTGTCTCTGTTGTACAAACGAATTATCCAAGGGCCAACAACTCCCCAACCCAATCCGTTATCCAACCGATTCACCCAAACTCACACAGGAAAAAAAAACCTTTCTACTTTCTTCTTCGTTTCTTTTTCTTCTTCTTTGTTGACGTCAGGTTTTCCAACAGATATAGCTGGAGATAAAGTGACAACAAGTCTTCCTCTAGTCACTACAACAGTCCCGTCAGTGTTTTAGCTGTCTCTAGAACTAGATTGAAAGAACGAAGAGAATAAAGAAGAAATACAGTTTTATATCCATGGGAAAATATATATATATATATATATATATATATTATATATTTATATTATTCGGACTATTGTCGGACTCTCTTTTTGTCATCAGTAAATATACAGGCCAACCGTTGTACGCTATTTTTTTCACTTTTTCAGGTGGATAAATGTCGAACTGAACCCCTTCTTTCACTCACTGGGGTAGACTGTTTTAGTTCCACGTGCCATGTTTAGTTCAGTTCAACATTCCAACCACCTGAAGAAATTGTTTTTCTACAACGCCGAAATGTTGTAATAAATAACTGACAAAGATGAGGATAATAGTCCGAATAATGTGGGCCAGGTAATAGGTACAAAAAAAAAAATATAGACAGATAGTTTGATATAAATATATATATATATATATATATATATATATATATATATATAGAGAGAGAGAGAGAGAGAGAGAGAGAGGAGAGAGATCCAGAGTAATCAATTGATTAATATATATATATATATATATATATATATATATATATATATATATTAATATATATATATATATATGAAATATTATTTGAGCTATATATATATATATATATATATATATATATATATATATATATTGAAATATGGTTAGAAGGAAAAAACATATTTTAAATCAATTATTTGAATATATATATATATATATATATATATATATATATATATAGTGTATTTAAGCAGTAATCATTTTTTTCATGCAAGTTTCATTAAATATGACAAACAAGGTGCTTTGATTAAGTCTTTTATATAATTTCTCATATGATGGTATATTTTTTTTCTTTTCAATAGATAAACGTGATAATTTTTCGAGAGCTTTCGGCTATACATTTAGCCATTTTCAAGGTTCGTTGTATTTATGCATTTAGTATTATAGAATGTTTTATTTTCAAGACACAGTCAACATATTGTGTCCATGGCCATAGTTAATATTATTAAGTGTTTTTTTATTAGATATGCCTCCATTACTTTTAGCCATTTTTTTTTTGCATGTAGATGATGCTATTATATTTGTGTTGTCAACAATTAATATATATACCACAGTTCAAAAGTTTGAAGTCACCCCCACCAGAATTAGGATGAGATGAACTTGACAGAAGAGTGAAAAAAAGGAGTCATTGAACAAAAAATGGAATCAATTATCAAACTTATACTTTGAGAAACTTTTGCAAGGAATTCCAAAAAATTTGCACTGCAGTAATCAAGGCTAAAGGAGGATATTTTGACGGGAGCAAAATTTAATCATAAAATGTTTTTTTTTCTTTTTGTAATATTAAAATTCCTAATTAAAAAATAATGTCTTACTTTTTTTATATATGTATAATCTTTTTTCTTATTTAAAAGTAAAATAAAAGATTCTTTTGTCAATTGAAAAAAATACCAATTTTAGTGCTTTTTCAACATTGTATAAATATATATATATATATATATATATATATATATATATATATATATATATATATATATATATATCTTATACTACCTTCCAAACTATTTATTAAATTTTCTAGAGTGATGACAACAAATTTTTTTTGTGTAGACATAACTTGTGAAAGAACTGTTCAAATGATCTATGGTTCCGAGAGACTTTACAGCTAATCTCTAATATGTAAATTATTTTTCAAAATGAATGTCTAGTTTATATATATATATATATATATATATATATATATATATATATATATATATATATATATAAAGATGGGATATTTTTTATATAGAGATGGTATTTTTTTTTTTTTAATATATTTATTTTCACCCATCAAGTTGGGGACCCATTTAAACACACACAGAAACCTACTAAACTCAGTCCGCAACATAATCGTATAAAATACGCTCAAGCTGTATAATATAATCTCTCCCAGAAACTGTAACAAAGGTCTTCTCAACATGATTGCAGTATAAACCGCAGATGAGCCCTGTGGGGTTACAAATACAAATATATATTGAGCGGGCGTCTGCAATTATTGAATAAAGACAGAGATACCCGGATATGAGCAGCCAGCAATTACTTAATATTGGTTGAATAATGTCACAAAACTGTTTTTTTTTTTTTTTTTGTTTTTTTTTGTTTGCTTTTTTCTTACGCGATCAATGGCCGAATATTTTCTGATGAACACAAAAAATTTACTATTTTCATTAAAACGAAGCGGAGTTATTTTGGTTTTAAAAGGCCATATTCGCCGGTATTTTGTGAAGATTGCTCTCGAGTATAAGAACTTATGAAAATTAAGTTGTAGCCTGTAGACTTCACACATCGGGATTTTGGTGAGATTGGGCTGGAGTGGACCATTTTAAGTGGGTACTTGTCAGTGTTACGATTACGACAGACGTCTGTTTTCGACAGTTTGAGATTTCAAAGTATGCGTTGACGAAAAAGAGACACTTTTTTCTACCATGAGAAAAAGTATTGCTATCCCATGGTTAAAATTATTTTTTTTTATCGTTGCCAAGATCAGATTTTGAAAATACTGAAAGCAAGGCAATAAAGCCACTAAGATGCAAGAGGTTACTGAATATGAGAGAATATGAGAAAAAGAAAACATTAAGGAGAGAGAACAATAAAAGAACAAGAATTAAGATGATAGTAGATAACGATTAGCATTGCATTTAAATTTTTGAAAACCAAAGGCAATAAAGCCACTAAGACGCAAGGGGGTTACTGACTGTTAGATAATATAAGAAAAAAAAGAGTATTAAGGAAAGATAACAATAAAAGAACAAGATTTAAGAATATATAGATAACGATTGACAACGCATTTAAATATTTGAAGATCAAAGGCAATAAAGCCACTAAGACGGAAGGGGGTTACTGAATGTTAGAAAATATGAGAAAGAAAAAGAGTATTTACGGAAAGATAATAAAAGAACAAAAATAAAGAAGATAGTTGATTGACAAAGCATTTAAATATTTGAAGATCAAAGGCAATAAAGCCACTAAGACGCAAGGGGTTACTGACTGTTAGAGTATATGAGAAAAAAGAGTATTAAGGAAAGATAACAATAAAAGAACAAGAATTAAGAAGAGAACAATAAAAGAACAAGAATTAAGAACAGAGAAGAAAACGATTGACAAAGTATTTATATTTTAAAAGATCAAATTTGATTGGAAAGCAAAAAGCCGGAAATAAGTTCCACAAGCAAGAAGTGCAAAAGAAGAAACTGCTAGCATAGAACTTACGGTTATATCTAACCATGTCAACTGTAAAATGATGTGACCTTGCTGCTCATATTGTACTGCACTCAAATTCATAAAGTCTTGGTACCAAAGAGGAAAGTTCATCAGAATAGTTACCATGAAATATTTATAGAAGAAGCACGGAAGTTGCGTTATGGCAGTGGGGAAGTGACTGGGATGCCAGATCAGATCCAATAACATTGCAGATTCTTCTTTGGATTTTATTAAGAACCTCTAGATATATAGCAGGAGCACCAGACCATATGTGGCAGCAATATTCACTGCATGGATGAATGGTAGAAATGTGTGAAATAAATTATAGCAAGAAAAATTGCCTACCATGACGCAATCGATTCAGTGTAATCTTTCGACTTCATGTCACCATAGAACGTTAACCCGATAAATTGTAATGAGTCATTCGCCTGAAGGTTAGCATCAGCCATACTGATAGAAAGTAAAAAGGATTTTCTTAGAAGATTAAAAATGTGCAGTTTCGTTTTTGAGGCTCTAAAATTAGCAGGTCATTTCTTGCCCCAGTTAACAACAGATTGTAGGTCATTTTTTTTAAATCAGCTACCGATTTAAAAATTAAACCAACCAGGCTTGCCATTAAGACTTATTAGGAATAGTTATGTCATCAGTGTGGTTAATGAGATTGAAAAATCACTGAATTCTCAAGGAAGATTTTAATGAAAAAAGATCTGGAAGACGCAAAAAAAAAACAACTTTCTTTTTCGACCTGATAAAAAGAAACCAAATAATCACATATTCTAAAAAAAAGACGATAAAAAAATCGTCTAAAAAAGGCCTTTGATCCGAAATTTTGAGGAAAAAAAAAAACAACCTCTTAATTTGTTGGTTTCCCAGGTCAGCCTGACACAAAATTGGTAGTTTTGTTTGGGTCCCAGATATGGGCAAATAAAATTAATGAAACTAGGGTAAAAACACTATGAAAGTGTAAAAATAGGTTTTAATACCAAATCCCTTTTAAAATTGATTATCAGCAATAAACTTTTTGAAGAAAAAAAAACTAAAACCAGTAATATATTTTTGAAAAAAATGCAACCAATCAATTTTTAAAAATAAATATTATTAGCAATATTTTTATAAAAAAAAATATTACCAACAATATTTTTAAAAAAATAGATATTATAGCAATATTTTTTGAAAAAATATTACCAAAAATAAAAAATATTACTAGCAAATATTCTTGAAAAATAAAATTACTAGCAAATAAATTTACAAAAAAATATTACCAAAAATGTTTTTGAAAAATAAATATTACTATAAATATATTTTTAAAAAAAATATTAATTTATAGGTTTTAATTTTAAATATTACTAGCAATATTTTTTTAAAAAAAAAAACTTTTTCAACAATTATTTTTGAGCAAAAAAAATTTTTAAGAATATTAAAAGTTTATTTAATGCAAAAAAAAAGGCAAGCAATTTAATATATTTTGAAAAAAAATATTCCACCTTGATTTTGACAAAACAATATATAACAAAAAATAAAAATTTTGTCGGCATTAAATTAACGTATTTGAGGTTGATATACCGTAGCCATAAACCCAATCAAACCAAAGAAAGATGTTCGTCCATAAATAACAAAATTTCAATGTGAAGAAAGGAACGTGAAACTCTGTCAAAAAAAATTGATTACCAAAAGCAACAACTTTATCACCCTTTTTTCCGATTACGACGAATATCAAAAAATTCCTAAGTGTAAACTTTATTTTAACAATTTAAATTATTATGAAAGAGATCGCATACTGAAGGATTTTCTGTTTCATTTCACCCAACATCTGCATTAACGGAACAATAGTATTTCTTCTTTGAAAGGACGGAGATCTGATACTTAATATGAGATGAGTTTATATCATTCTATTATTACTAAGAAAAAACTTATTTTTTGAATAATATTCTAGTTAAGGAGAGACAAATTTAAAATAAATTGTGGATGCATCCTTTTTCATCCATAGGTTTTGATGGTTTACGTTATTCAAATATTTTTCAAAAAAGCAATCGTATCGAAAAAAGGAAAAGATTATAACGAAAAATATGTTTTAGACTTTGCTAACCAGAGGCTTTCTCTTATTATAGTGTGTAAAAGTTTTCAATGTTTATTTTTAAAGTTATGTATAAGAATTCAAATCTTCCTGTTAAAATAGGCAGAAATTACGAATAAGATTATAAACTGAAATAATTGAACTAAAAATCATTCGAAAAAAAATAGAAAAGAAATACTGAAAATAAAAAAATATTTAAATAATTTTAATTAGATAATTGTTTATAATATATTATATATATAATATTTATATATATATGCATGTTTCATTAAAAACGACAGACAAGGTACAAACAAAGTTAAGCTTCTTATTTAATTATTTTTGTGTTCGAACAAAAGCTTTTTTCTGGACAAAAAGTGTAAAAAAAACCCATTAGAAAAATGTTTAGAAAAAAAAAAAAAATAAAATTTGCATGATCTAAAAAAAAGATTAAAAATAATGGAAGCTTTAATAAAAAAAAAAATCAAAACTTAACATTGAAAACATGAACAAGGCCCAGATTTGCTAACCGTATATTTGGTGAAATTAAATATTTTATTTTAAACACACTAAAATACAACAGAAAAATTTCAATTAAAATCTAATTCTGAAAGTTCATATCTTGATAATGGCTAAACTATTAGACGAAAAACTCGGAACTATAAAACATTTCTTTTTTAAAGTTTTTTCATCCAGAAAAAGAAATATTTTTAATTGAAAAGAAAATTTTATATATAATATATATATATATATATATATATATATATATATAAGACAATTTATATGTCGTTTTAAAATTTGTTCCAATTATTCGACTTCTAGTTTTTCCCTTTGAATATCCAATTTCTGTATTTCTATTTAAGGGATCATTAAGATTGAACTCAAAAATTTTTTTGAAAAACAAAAAATGAAATTAAAATTTTAAATCATTTCTCAACGTGAAATAAATTATTATAATGGTTCATTAATGAATGTTTGCAGAATCTTTGAATATACCTTTGTTTTCTTTTTGTTTTTCATAATGAATTAAAAATTTGTTGTTTTTTTTTTTTATTTTTTTTTTATAGCTTTTAAAAAAAAATAAAAAATAATATATAATTTTTTTTAATTTGAAAATTTATTTTTAAATTTTTCCTTTCAAAAAAGATTTTTAAATACATTCTCAAATATATATAGAAAAATAAATATTTATATTTATATATATATAAAATTATATATAATTAAACCCAAATTTTTCCTGGCCATTTGTATTCGAGGATAAATTTCCTACTAGGTAAATTTACAATTTATTGCAGACGCTTGACTCAAGCAATTTGCGTTTATTTTTTCCACAGATTTTTTATTGTGGTTTTACAGTACAACTATGCTGAGCAGATTTACAGTTTATGGAAAATTAGAGAGCGTGTTATCTAGCGTGATCAACAATTTGAACAATTCAGCATGCTAAAATTCGGAAAGACGAAAACTATAAGGACTTCGAAAAAATAAAAGCTATCGACGGATTTCCAACCATTTCCGTTATTCCCAATAAAATTATAATATTTAAAATACATTTTGGCAATAGTTTTATTTTAGTTTTTTTTTACATGCATGGGACAATAAAATGGTGGATAAATTCATGTTTCCATGGTGTTTTTTTATCATGTTCCAGAAACCCGGTCTCATTTTTAAAAAATGTTCTTTAAAATTTTAAAAATTAAAAAATTGATTTAATTTTTGAATTTGAAATAAATTTTTTAAAAAATTTTTTTTCCCCTTATTCAGTAAAATTTTATTTTCCAAAACATGGTTATAATTATAAAAAGGGTTCATTTTGTTTTTGTTGAACAATTGTTTTTTTTTATTTCATAAAATTATACTTTATATATATTTTAAATATATATATATATATATATATATATATATATATATATAAAATAAAAATATTTATAATTTTAAATTAAAGAATTGAAAGTATCCATTTACAAAAATCAGAAATAGACAAAACAAATTTACTATTTTTAATAAAATAATATTTATCTTTGTGCAAAAGAAAAAAACATGACTATGACAGTTAAATAAAAAAATT